AGGATTTTATTTGTAATGTATTTTTAATGTTTTTCATTAATTATGGCAAATATTGAAAATTATTTTGCTTATTAATACTTATTTTTATATTTTCACATCTCTTTTAGAAAATTTCAAAAATACCCGTAGACACAAATAGATTCCTTAAAATCTTTTTTTTGCATTTCAGCTTCATTTGGTTGTTGTTTATTTAATTATTTTTTAAACATATTTTTCGTCTTTTTATTAGATTGTTTTGTATTTTTTTTATTTTTTAGCATTTTTTTGACTGCCCAGGATTTGTCTGGTTAGAATGGTAGAACCGTCCAATTTATCGATTAACCCCGTTGGACCACTTCCCGGCCCATGTACAGTTAACCATTCCGGATCGATTTTCCCTACAGTAGTGGGGCCACCCCTGGCTTTAGTGTCTATAGGGCCTGCTCAAGCATTGCTTGGACCAAACCATGGGCGAAGAGGACCTAGCCCTATCTGGGTAGGACAAGGCCTAATAGACCCAAAAGAAAGGATAAAAAGATAAGGAGAAAAGGGCCAATCTGGGCCAGCCATGTTGTGACTTAACCCCACGCTAGACCTAGGCCCAGCCCTCGGCCACATTGTTTGGCCCATGCCCTATTTTTTCAGGGTGGGCCAACCAGGCCGGGCCAAACCACTTGACCGCCTTAGAAGCGGAGTTTTCCTTGGTCGTCCTTGCATTTTAATTATGATTAGAGACAATCTTGCATTGTGGTTTTAACTTTGAACATAATTCTTGTGTTGAGGGTATGAAGACATAGATTCTAGATCAAATATTATTAAGATTAGAGGTTTGAGGAGAGGGAGTTGATTAAGGAAGTGAGCATGTTACCATCGATATTGAAAATCTCACCATTTGCTGTGTCTTTTTCCTCGAAGTGAGAACTTTCACCTTCACACTTGCTCTCTTGCACTTTCAAGGGAAGTGCCAGTAAAATTTTGGGAAAATTACAAAAAAAACAAACTCAAACTTTTTATCTCACTTCTTTATCCAAAACAAACTTTCTACGTAAATACCTTTCTAAGGAAAAAAGTTTATTTTTTTAGACGAAAATACATTTCCCATATACAAAAATCATTTTGGCCAGATTTGATGTTGACTTTTGGACCTAATAGCACATTGTCGGAGCACACCATCACATTACCATACCACCATTTACAGAAACTTAAGTATCAGACCGCCTAAGACAACTACCAAATTGAAAATGAGTACGGCTGCACCGCCCTTTACCTAATGCCGGAGCCCTGGAATCCACTAATATCTATTGCCGAACCGCAAACATCTACGGTCGGACCACCTTCTGCTACTGTCGGACCGCACTCACACAATGACATAGCCCTATTTTGTGAGATAGAGGAGAGAGTGGTCCTATTTTGTGAGATAGAGGAGGGAGTGGCTTGGGTTAGGTAAAAGTAAGGGAAGGTAATTTAGGCATTTTTTTTTTATTTTTACTTGGTTGGGGGTATTTGTATAGAAAGTATATTTTAAGGAAAAAAATTGAGAGAAAAAGCTATCTTGGGTTGCAAGTC